CCTTCACGGTTTCGCTCATGACATCATTGAGGTGCTCAAGCTCCAGCGCCCCGACAAGGCGGTGATCCATATCAAATGATAAACAGCAAAATAAACAACATCGAGGTATACTTATAAAGAAACCTCAAAAATAACAAAATTAAAATTTTGTCTTTCCTGGTTCTTCTAATATTTGATAGCTTTAGTATAATCAAGGAATTGAAGTTTTATCTCTTTTGTAGTAAGACTGTAATTTTTTGTGCATTCTCTTATTTCATTTTCCCCCAAGACTAATAATAATACTGATTTCAAGACTTATTTCAAGGCAAATAATAGGAAAGAAAAAGAAGGGAAGATAAAGGAAGGGAAGAAAGATGGGATGAAGGAAGGAAGGAAAGAAAGAAAAAAGAAAGAAAAAAAGAAAAAAGGGAAGAGAGAAGGAAGAAAGGAAGGAAGGAAGGAAAGAAAGAAAGAAAGAAAGAAAGGAGGAAAAGAGAGAGGAAGGAAGGGAGAGAGGGAGGGAGAAGATATATTTTGGGAAATGGAGGAAGGAAAGAAAGAGCTAGAAAGAAGATGCAAACTCAGACACCCGGTGGCGCAGTGGGTTAAACCCCTGTGCCGGCAGGACTGAGGACCGACAGGTCGCAGGTTCGAATCCGGGGAGAGGCGGATGAGCTCCCTCTATCAGCTCCAGCTCCTCATGCGGGGACATGAGAAAAGCCTCCCACAAGGATGATAAAAACATCAAATCATGCAGGCGTCCCATGGGCAACGTCCTTGCAGACGGCCAGTTCTCTCACACCAGGAGTCACTCCTGACACGACAAAAAAAAAAGGCATACCATATTTGGGTCAATGTGTATATGCTATTTTCTAAAAAAAAAAGCAACCCCCATTGTTAGATGTAACCACAAAAGCAGCTTTGGAAGCCCAGTTTACATGTACTATATCAATATACCTACAAGACTAATTTATGCTATTTCACTTTTTGAACCTTGTTGTGAGCATGCACTCCAGTTAGACATGCCATTATGATCCAATTGCAACAATGCTTTGAATCATGGAGTTTTGTCTGCATGCTTTGTAGTATTTTTTCCACATTTTCTTGTATTGTGGTCTGGTCTACTACAGCAGTAGGTCCACTTTTATTTTTTGCAGTTGCATTTGTATGGCTAACAACTGCCTATGGGCCTTTCTCCATAACGGAGAACACCATAACATCGTTGCAAAAATATGCACCAATCTGCACCACCTGCACCTCCCTAGTGACACCATTGTCCTCGATGCCCTGCTTTGCTCTGCGCAAGTTGACCCAAATATGCTATGCAAAACAGGGGCCTTTCCCAAAGAGGCTTCCTGCTCTTCCAGAGCCAGTGCCGGGAATCCTAGAAAGGAATGTGTATGGGCAGCTATTAATGGGGTGTGCCCAAAAAACAAACCCTACTTGCCCCACTCAAGGGGAATGCAAAACTGGACGCTTCTCTTTCTCTTTCTCTTTCTCTTAGGAATCTGCCACTGGCTAGGATCTTATAGGATGAAACTATTGAATCATGGATCCATCCAAGTTATCATTCCTAAATTGATTAAAGATGCTGTACAATTCAGGGCCGGGCTATATGAGACCTTGGGTGGAGCTATATGAGACCCTTGGTGTTCTAGGATCCCATAGGATAGAGCAGGCATGGGCAAACTTGGGCCCTCCAGGTGTTTTGGACTTCAACTCCCACAATTCCTAACAGCCGGTAGGCTGTTAGGAATTGTGGGAGTTGAAGTCCAAAACACCTGGAGGGCCCAAGTTTGCCCATGCCCAGGATAGAGCTATGAAAATCAAAGTGGCATCAAAACACTAAAACAGTGCAATGCAGATATACAATGTCTTGTGTTATTTGTGATTGTTTTGCCAAGAACGGAAGACCTGTCAATGACACGTTAGTTTGCATCTACGATGTGGAATTAATGCACTTTGACCCCACTTTAACTACTATGGTGCGGTGCTATGGAATCATGGGAGACTCAGTTTATTGAGGGATGAGCACTCTTTGATAGAGAAGGCAAAGGTAAAAGGTAGTCCCCTGACATTAAGTCCAGTCATGTCTGACTCTGGGGTGTGGTGCTCATCTCCATTTCTAAGCCGAAGAGCCAGCATTGTCCGTAGACACCTCCAAGGTCATGTGGCCGGCATGACTGCATGGAGCGCCGTTACCTTCCCACCAGAGCGGTACCTATTGATCTACTCACATTTGCATGTTTTCGAACTGCTAGGTTGGCAGAAGCTAGGACTGACAGTGGAAGCTCACGCCACTCCCCGGAATCGAACCTGCGACCTTTCGATCAACAAGCTCAGCAGCTCAGTGCTTTAACCCACTGCGCCACCGGGGGCTCTAGAGAAGGCAAAAGACCTTGTAAAACCACAACTCCCAAGATTCCATAGCATTGAAATCACAACAGTGAAAGTGATGTCAAACTGCATTCAGTGCATATGCACACTTGTGACGCTAATGCTCAATACCTGATTTACCTATGGAGATGTAATAGAGATATTCCAGGACTACCTGGTCAGAAGGACACGTAGTGGAAAATCAATAGTCCCATCTACTGCATTATATAATGCAGTTCAATGTAGTTAAATTGCATTATATGGCAGTGTAGATGGGGCCAATGAGAGGATTAACATTTCTTCCTAATGCTACTTTTTAGTAGGCAAGGCTTTGCTTGGATATGAACAAGTCTAATATGTATTTCCACCACTTTGTTAATGCTGATCATATGCAAGTTTGGGTCTCTGCACTGCTGACAGACTCATGCATGTTACTTTCCCCCTTTCTGGTTAGGATAGGTAGCCGATGGTCCATTTTGCTCCAGCTCCTGCTAATGGGTTCCTTTGGTGTCGGGGCCGCGTTTGCTCCAAATTTCATCGTCTACATTGTCTTGAGATTCGTGGTGGGAGCCGCATTTGCTGGGATCAGTATCAGCATGGCAGCCTTAAGTAAGATGCCCAGGTTTATGGTTTTTTTTCCATCCTGAAAAAGTTCATATTGCATTATTTGATGTCTTCATGCAGGGCCATCAATGTACGAGTGAAACAACCCGAAATAATGGGTCTTGCCAAAGGCATGCAATGTTTATGTATCAAACTATACAAATATAGCAAAAATCTGGAAAAATCATAATTGGGTTGGGCTGGAAGTCACTTGAGGGGGGTCAGTGCTGTAGCGCTCTGGGCCTGTATCAATGTTTGTTTATAGGACGTGCTTTCTGTATGCCCAACGGGACACTGGGGTGCCTCAGCTAAAGGATCCCACAGGTTTCCCAACACAAAGTTCTGTAGAGGCTCAAAATAAGTCCAAAAAAGTTCTTTATTAAGGCTTAAATCTTTGAACAAATGAATAAAATGCCATATAATCTTGAAAAACTGGTAAGTTTCTCGATCTGCCGACAAGGGACAGGCAACTGCTTGATAAACTGTTCCTATCTTCTTTAGGGAAACCTTGGGCAATCTTTCTTTACCTTACTGGTGTGAGGCCCCAGCTCCTGGCTCCAAGCTGCGTTATGGATAGCCTGAGTAGCCCTTACCAGGCAATGGTTGCTGCAGATCTGCCAAGCTGGTGTCCTTTTAGTTTCTCCACGAAACTAAAAGGAACTGTGGAACTGTAACTTTACTCTCCAGCAAAGCTGTAGAGCTTTTCCTTTTCCCCCAGCAAAAGCTGGCTGTAGATCTATATCTTTGACCCCGGCAGAGCTGTAAGAAGTGAAGCTTTTTACAGGTGGGGTAGAGAAAAAGCCCACACGTCCTACTGTAGGGCTCCAAACTGTGAGACTGAACTAAAAGTCCCCTTTTCCCTCCAAAACCTGGGGAAAGGGGCGGATCTAAAGGCTCTAATGATGATTGATAGGTTGTTGGCCCTATGATTACAACCTGGGGAAGCCACCTGATTGCAAAAAAGGCATAGCTTGAATAGATTCATGCAAATTAACAATGCAAGAAAAAGAATCAAATCTCCTGGCACAGCCGTGCCAGCACAGGGTCTCTTCCTATTCTAGGATTCTATAATTGCTGTATTTACTCAATTCTAATGCTCACTTTTTTGGCTAAATTATCGGTACCTTCCCAAAGTTAGGGTGTGCATTAGATTAGCATAATATGGTAATCCTAGTGCTGAGCCAAAGCAAAATGGGAAGCTACTTCAAGAGTACCTGGAGCTCCTACTTATAACAACAACAACAACAACAACAACAACAACAACAACAACAACAACAACACTTTATTTATATTCTGCCCTTCCCAAGGGGACTCAGAGCAGATTGCAACATATAAACAGACACAGACAAACATTCAGTGCTTTGATACAATGAAATACAATGAAACACAAATACAAAAAGGCAAAGGCTCCTCTTTTTCATTTTTGGCTCTGGAGGCGATGCTCATCTCCGGCTCTAAGGGAGGTGCTCATCTCTATTTCCAAGCCGAGGAGCCTGCATTGTCTGTAGACACCCTCTGGCCGTGTTAGCCAGAATGACTGCATGGAGCATCTTTTTGCTTTCCCACCGAGGCAGTACCTATTGATCTCCTCACATTTGCATTTTTTCAAACTGCTAGGTTGGCAGAAGCTAGGGCTAACAGTTGGAGCTCAGCCCAAGGTTTTCTTTTTCATTGCTGACAGTTTTCTAACACTTTTGTTTTTACAGAAGGAATTATAAGCAGGCAGTAACTGTAAAGGCTGTCTCCCCTTCCAGGTTCGGAGTGGGTCGGGGCTCCCTTCCGCGCGCGGGCGCTGGTCATCACCCACTGCAGCAACGCCATGGGTCAGATGGCCTTGGCAGGCTTGGCGTACTCTGTTCGTGATTGGCGGCTGTATCAGATCGTGGGCTCGGTCCCTGCCTTTGCACTCTTTTTCTACATATGGTGAGTGAGCCTGCCCAAGACCGATATCACAAGGCCTATGAGCTAACCTCAAGGCTCGTGAGCTCAATCTGTCCCAATATGTCACTTTATGTGGACCTCCAGATGGTGGACTACAACTCCTTGTTGTAAATATGCAATTGTTGTAAATATGCAAAAGACCCAATTGCATATTTACAACTCTTTTATAGATATCTGTGTTATTAGAGGACTACAACTCCTGAATTCCTTATCATTAGACATCATGACTGATGGGAGTTGGGATACAGTAATATGTGGAAGGCTGCAGTTTGCTCTGTTTAGTCAGGTTTGGATTTAGATACAAGGCATGTGGATAGGATACCTGGCTTCAAAGTATTCTTTGGACATTCCTGTGAGAAATAGCAACCTTCTACAAGCCTCCTCCATGAGTTATTTGTTGTATATATAAATCAGATTGCTGACTTTATTGTATACTAGCTTGAGGACCCGGCGATGCCCGGGTTACTTGAGAAAGACCTCACTACCTCTGAGGATGCTTGCCATAGATGCAGGTGAAACGTCAGGAGGGAATGCCTCTAGAACATGGCCATACAGCCTGAAAAAACCTACAACAACCGAGTGATTCCAGCCATGAAAGCCTTCGACAATACATTGAGAAAGGCACTGTTTGTTTTTGGAAGTCTTGTAATATCTCTGGATGCAGGCTGAACAGCAATTCCGACACGGGCGGGTCATTGCCTCCCAAACCCCTCCAGCAAATGTGGAAGGCTAATTGCGTAAAAGGGTCCTTTATCTCATTATCCTTATGCTTTTTGCTCTATTCCATTCAGGATTTTTGTTGGGACACTATTGACACCAAAGTTCTTCCAATAGCTTTTCGGCTGAACCAGATCTGAATGTCATCCTGTCGCCCTCCTTTCCACGATCGTTTATTGACCAACTAATGTGCTAATGTGCTTCGTCGCCTTTTGTACTTTGCAGGGTCCTCCCTAATTCTGCGCGATGGCTTGTGACCAAAGGGAAGATCAAGGAAGCCAAAGAGCTGCTCCAAAAAGCTGCCTCCATCAACAGACGAACCATTCCGGAAGAACTGCTTGATCAGGTGTTCAAAAGAATGGGGTTTCTATTGCTCCTCTTAAGGAAAGTGCTGGGAGGGAAGCAAGGCACAAAGTAGTCCCGAAACAAAGTAGTCCCGAAATAAGATAAGTGCATCTACACTACAGAAATAATGTGGTTCAACACCATAGAATCTTGGGAGTTGTAGTTTTGCAAGGTCTTATAGGTCCAGAGTGTTCCCATTCACTCACAGAGTCACACTGAAGGACTGGAGAAGCTTAGGTCCCATCTACACTGCCATATAATGCAGTTTGGAGCTGCAATATATGGACAGTGTAGACCAGTGGCTCCCAACCTTTGCTCTTCTAGTTGTTTTGGACTTCACCTCCAGAAATCCCAGCCAGTTTACCAGCTGTTAGGAATTGTGGGAGCTGAAGTCCAAAACACCTGGAGGATCAAAGGTTGGGAAGCACTGGGTAGTCTCATATAATGCAGTTCAATACATTATATGGCAGTGTATATAGGGCCCTAGAGTGACTGTATTTATCAGATCTATAGAGGACTCAGGCTGTGCCGTTGAGCCTGGGGTCTATAGATCTTAGTGAAAGAAATATGGACGTGACACCTCTCCCCAGGGGATTGCTTCTTGCCCTCCTTTAGAGAACTGAAACTTCCAAGGACCAAGACACTATAGATAACCCAAAACAGTCTTTATTGTTCACAATGAGTTATCTTCCATAGGCATAAACTTGATATTCATAAGGGGTAAAGAAAACATATGTTACAGTCTTTGGAGTATTGGGTCCAAGGAGTTTTACAGCTGAGAAGCTTTCCAAGTTCCCTCTTTCTCCATGGCTGTGAATGCCTGAGCACTCACAACCCCAGCCCAATGACCTATGTTGAAGGCCAAAATCTCCTCTTGATGCCAGAGGACTGGTTTGAAGGCACTTAAGATTCCGCAACAGCGTCCAGGTGAGCTGGATATGAAGAATGAATCTTAAGAGTACAAACTTAAGAACTGGTGAAGAAAGATGACTTAACTCAGGGCTTTTGGAGCTAAGCCTTTCGCGTGTCCATCTGCTGAGATGTTTGATGGTAGAATGAAAAGAAAGCCCTGCCCTCTTCCCCAGGAAGGGGCGGAGCCAAACAATTAAGCAGGGGAGGCAATTCAACAGATGCAAACAACATTGATAGAAAGCAGTAGATAGCCAAACAAATCAACTGTATATTCACTTACAAGTGGGGCCTGATGCACCGTCACACAGGCCCCTTTCACACAGCTGAATAAAATCTCACATTTTCTGCTTTTAACTGGAATAAATGGAAGTGTGGACTTGGATAAGACAGTTCCAAGCAGATATTGGGGGTTTTCTGCCTTTATATTCTGGGATATAGGGATGTGTGGAAGGGCCCCTAGACATTCCTAAACAGATGTTCTCTTGAGGTATCTCTACGTTTTCTAGCACAACTTTTGACAGACCACAGAATTGCAATGGAGTACCATAAGATTCATCGAGAGACGTTCTCTCATTTCCCCCCACTTTAATGTGGGTCCTGTACCCTTAATCTCAGTGAATTGGGAAATCTGACTGTATATTGATTTTGGGTTGATGTTTGGTCTCATTTGTTTTGCACCCTTTGAAGCTGGCTCCAGAGCAGAAGGCAAAATCTGGGAACATCTTGGATCTTTTCAAGAAGGCACACTTACGGCGCATGACTTTGATCATGGTCTGGGTCTGGTGAGTCTTCTACATTAAAACAATCCAGTAAAACAGGACCTCACAACCTCTGAGGATGCCTGCCATAGATGTAGGTGAAACGTCAGGAGAGAATGCTTCTGGAACATGGCCATTCAGCCCGGAAAACTTATAGCTACCCATTTCAAAGAATGTTTGTAATTTCATTTAAATGGATTCCCAGGAATGGATTCCCAGGAATTCCCAGGTTTACGCTTCACTTCTTTGGAAGTGAAGCATAAACCAACCTTGGTTTCGAGCTTCCTCTGAGATTGATTGAACTCAATGCAAATCTTGGAAAAGTTGAGTTTTTTGGGGCCATCCTCACTGAAGTTGTGGTCCTACAAGTAACCTTTCCAAGCTCTGGAGAATTATAACTGCCTTGGGGCTAATTGCAAAGAACGTTAGGAAGTGGGTTGTTGTAGGATTTTTTCAGGCTATATGGCCATGTTCTAGAGGCATTATCTCCTGACGTTTCGCCTGCATCTATGGCAAGCATCCTCAGAGGTAGTGAGGTCTGTTGGAACTAGGAAAAACCTACAACAACTCAGTGATTCCGGCCATGAAAGCCTTCGACAATACATTGAACATCTCTACAGGGAGAAACTGTTCCAAGACACACGAAACTTGGAAAAACAAAGGACCAGGAAAGCACATCTACTGTGCTCCCTGACTTTCCTTCTGCGCTGCAGAGACACAGATACCATCCCACAATTTCTCGCAGCCAAAAGGACTTTCAAAACACCACAGGCTCACTGGATATGAGAGAGAATTCACACCATCCGCAAAGAACTCGCAAACACAGACAAGGAACTGCTGCACCTCCATATCAACATCAGCCGGAAGATGAATTCCCAGGAATGGGACAAAATAGACATCCTCACTTAAACCATGAAAATGAACAAAATCTGTCTACCAGTATTAAAAAACTCTAAAATTCCAACAGCACAACAACAGAGAGGAAACAAACAAGGACATCTAATCACCTCTCAACAAAAGTTTGCTCCAGGCACTGCCAGGCAATCAAATGCTAATCAAGGAGGTCAGTTGAACCATTCACACCTAGCTCCAGCAGACAAGAGTCCTTTGTCTCACCTTGGTCCTAGTTCCAACAGACCTCACTACCTCTGAGGATGCTTGCCATAGATGCAGGCGAAACGTCAGGAGAAAATGCCTCTAGACCATGGCCATAGAGCCCGAAAAAACTTACAACAACCCAATGATTCTAGCCATGAAAGCCTTCGACAATACAACGTTAGGAAGAATTTCCTGACTGTAAAGCTGTGTTCAGCAGTGGAACTCTCTGTGTGGTGGAAGCTCCTTTCTTGGAGACTTTTAAACAGGCTGGGTGGCCATCTGTCATGGGTGCTTTGATGGGGCTTTTCCTGTATGGTAGAATGGAGTTGGGTTGGATGACCCATATAGTTTTTTCCAACTCTATTATTCTATGAATCTAGGAAAAAAATACAAATTCAGTTCAAGGGAAACAGGAGTCTTCTTTGCTTTGTATTCAGGTTTGCAGACAGCCTTGTGTACTATGGTGTGAGTCTCCACGTCGGGGATTTCGGTGTGGACATCTACATGACCCAGCTCATCTTCGGAGCAGTTGAAATTCCATCTCGCTTGTCCTGTATTTTCTTCCTTCAGTGGTTGGGCAGGAAGAAGTGCCAGGCTGCGTGGCTTCTCCTGGGCGGAATCGTGTGCTTGTTGATTCCGGTGGTTCCCCAAGGTAAAACTCACCAACAAAGCCCAAACATTCATGAAATAATTAAACACAAGACATGCTTGCCTTGGAAAGGCAGGTGGTATGATTTAATAGCCACTGATAACCAATGATCCAATCTTTCAGGGAGGGTCATGAAAAGGTGTGCACAAATAATGCTTGCATGCTCATGAAGTGACACTACCTCTCTGTGTTGCTCACTATGCCAATATTACTTGAAGAAATGTTGTAGCATCATATATATATATATATATATATATATATATATATATATATATATGCATAAGAGCATGGAATGTTGGGTTGCATTTGAAGCAATGGCTTCAAATTGCAGGAAAATACCCAGTACCCAAATTGCACAAATACCCAATATGCCCAAATTTGAATATTGATGGGGTTGAGGGGAGAGGTAATTGATTTTGTCATTTGGGAGTTGTTGTTGTTGTTCATTCGTTCAGTCGTCTCCGACTCTTCGTGACCTCATGGACCAGCCCACGCCAGAGCTCCCTGTTCGGCCGTCACCACCCCCAGCTCCTTCAAGGTCAGTCCAGTCACTTCAAGGATGCCATCCATCCATCTTGCCCTTGGTCGCCCCTCTTCCTTTTTCCTTCCATTTTCCCCAGCATAATTGTCTTCTCTAAGCTTTCTTTCTCATTATGTGGCCAAAGTACTTCATATTTGCTTCTAATATCCTTCCCTCTAGTGAGCAGTCGGGCTTTATGTCCAGAAGTATGGACTGGTTTGATCTTCTTGTGGTCCAAGGCACTCTCAGAACTTTCCTCCAACACCACAGCTCAAAAGCATCATCTTCCTTCGCTCAGCCTTCCCTAAGGTCCAGCTCTCACATCCGTAGGTGACTACAGGGAATACCATGGCTTTGACTAGGCGGATCTTTGTTGCCAGTGATGTCTCTACTCTTTACGATTTTATCGAGATTGGACATTGCTCTCCTCCCAAGAAGTAAGTTGTAGTTGCTAGGATTTATAGTTCACCTACAATCAAAGTGCATTATGAACTCCACCAATGATGGAATCGAACCAACAGAAAATACTGGAGCTTCCACAACCAACAGAAAATACTGGAAGGGTTTGGTGGGCACTGACCTTGAGTTTGGGAGTTGTAGTTCACCTACATCCAGAGAGCACTGTGGACTCAAACAATGATGGGTCTGGACCAAACTTGGCATGGATACTCAATATGCTCAAATGTGAACACTGGTGGAGTTTGGGGAAAATAGACATTTGGGAGTGGTAGTTTCTGGGATTTATAGTTCACTTACAATTAAAGAGCATTCTGAACCCCACCAATGATAGAATTGGGCCAAACCCACACAAAGCCCCGATGCCTTGAAGGGACTTGCCGCCATGAGCCTCCCCCAGCCTCACACGCTGTCCCTCGCCTGCACATGAGCTGTCATGCGCCGAGCATGCCTGCTCTCCTGTCCTTCACTCGGAGTCTCAGAAACAACCTTCCCCTTGGCTGATTGGCCAGTCAATCACAGCAGAGGAGGGCTTTTGGTGAGAGGATTCACCATCTGTTTCCAAAAAGGAAGAGAAGGACTGGCAGGGAGATCTTCAGCCTTCTCTGCCAAAGGGGTTCCTAAGACCATTGGAAATATGTGTTTTCTGATGGTCTTTAGCGACCCCTCTGAAATCCCCTGGCTACCCTCCCAGGGGTCCCAACCCCCAAGTTGAGAAACGTTGATCTAACATATTAGGAAGAAATTCCTGATGGTGAGAGCTTTTTGAGAATGGAATATGCTTCCTTAGAGTTATCTGAAGTCTCCTTTAAGCAGAGGCTGGATGGCCATCTGCCAGGAGTACTTTGCTTGTGTCTTACTGCATGTTGATGAGGTTGGATTGGATACTCTTTGTATTCTCTTCCAACTCTATGATTTGCATTTAAAGTTACAGCATCTTTATGTTCTCACGCTAGAAAGATGAGTTTCCCTTGCATGTGAAGTTACACCTTATTTTATTTTTTGGAAAAACAAGTACGAGAATACCATGGCACACATGGCCAATCACCATGTAGACTGAGAGATTTGGAAACTGTAGTCCAAAAGCAACTTTTTCAAAACTCTTTTGGATGACTCGTGGTAATTTTTGGTTTCCTGGACTCCTTTCTATATCTCTTCTGTGATTATAAAAGAAAGAATTTGGAAACCTGGGCTTCCATTTTAGATCAGTCATAGCTTGTTGTTCTGGTACAGGTGTACCAGGAGCTCCAATTTTGTTTGCTTTGCATTAAGTGTTATTTGCAACCCAAGGCTTGGGATTCTGCAGTCATAGGGCAGGCCACCTGTTCATCATCATTAGGTTCTCTAGTTCTGCCCCCTTTTTGGGTTTAGAGAAGGGAAGGGAGCCATTTTTCAGTTAGTCTCAGCTAGGAAGTCAATGTACAGGACGTGTACAGACTTTCTCCTGTACAAAGGCTTCAACCCTTAAGACCTCCCGGGGGAGAACAGTCTTAAGAGCATCTAAAGATTCCCAAAGGTTCCAGGGAAACAGCCTTACAGCCCTGAGGAATTTCGGAGGGAATAACAGCTTTAAACATCAAGAACTCCAGCTAAGTGACTACAGGCCTACTGGTAGGTCCACTCCGTTTTGAGATGCAGTTCAACCCGGTAGTGGATCCACATCAGTTAGGTTTAGGTTCACAGTTAGCCTGGGAGGAGCTAGAAAGGGATTTTCCTTTAAAGTAAAACAAAGAAACAGTTAGAAGCCACCAGTTGCTTGAAGCCTGGAAGCATTTGTTTAACCTTTGAAGACAAAAGAAGTTCCTGTTTGATTGTTCATCAATAAAGACTTTGTTGTATTTAAGCCCAAGCCCTCTAAAGACTGTTTATGGGGAGAAAATCTCTAAAGCTTCTCTTCGGGTCCCCCTGGCTTCTCGTTGGGCTCAAGTTGCATGTCCTGTTTTAACAGCAATTTGTTTTAAGCCCAGCGGCGACAGAACACTTGTCATGAATTTTGAACTCAGTCAAACTGTGGTTAATCATAACTATGGTTTATCCAGAGAAGCAATTTTCAAATCCTAGTTTATGAACCAGTCTTGTTTCAGCCAACAGTTGAGATTAAGTAAAATTTAGGGTTCTAGCAGGAGATTAACTAAATTGTAGGGTTCTAGCAGAATGCAACTTATCTGCAATGTTGGAGGAGGCAAAAAAATAAGTTTGTCAGATGTCATCATGGAGTCAGACCATTGGTTTATCTGACCCGATATCGCCAACTCAAATTGGTGGCACTCCTCAAGAGTCTCAGTCTTACTTACCTGAGCTTTTAGCTGGAGATGCTAGGAATGGAAGCGGAGATTTTCTTTTAGCAAGGTGCATACTATCTCCAAGCTACAGCTTGTCCCCATATAGACATCAAGGGCCTTTCTAACCCAGTCTGTATGTGTAGGTGGAAATAGCTTGGAATCCTATAGAGCTGCATTTTGATAAGCCATTGGTCTTTCTCTACTTCCTGGCCATTCTCAGCATTGGCCTGTTTCATGGTGTCTTTTGTTTTTGCCCAGAATTCCCTGCGATCGTGACAACATTGGCCGTTATTGGCAAATCTGCTCTTGCCGCTTCCTTTTCAACCAGTTATGTCTTCTCTTCGGAGGTCTTCCCCACAGTCGTCAGGTGAGGATCCTTTTGCTGCCAAAAGCATGAAGAGAGTGCTGGCATGGGCAAATTTGGGTCCTCTGGGTGTCTTGGTCTTCAATTTCCACAGTTCCTAACAGCCAGTAGGCTATAAGGAATTGTGGGAGTTGGAGTCCAGAACACCCAGAGGGCCCAAAATTGTTTTGAGACCAGACTTTATATCTGACCACTACATATATAAATCTAGAATGGCATCCAACTTACTCCCAAATTTGTTTTTGCTATAAGCATAAGCTAAAAGGCCTGATTTGTATCGATAGTTGGATAGGAAAGGGAACATTGCTTGGATGGCTTTTCTGGTCACTAACAGTCTATCAGTTCCACCCAAAAGTCATCTGTTGATTCCAATTTTCATATCCATATATTCCAATTTCATTGTGAAAGCAGAGGTACACTGAATTTCAATGAGATTTTGACACTCTGACACAGACTTTTAAAAAGTTGTAATTTTTTTTTTTTGCCGAATCCTGAGATTCCACAGAACATAGTTTGGGAACCGCTGTTGTAGAGGAAAGAAGGGCGCACCAACTTTGGCATCAAACTGTCTATTAGCAGGGTAATCACCCAAGATCGGCATATGTTTGGGTATAACTTGTGTTTTTCTTCCTTAACCAGGCAAACGGGGTTGGGATTGTGCTCTATGGCTGCTCGGGTGGCCGGCATCCTCTCCCCGCTGGTTGGGCTCCTGGACAAGATCCACCCGGCTATTCCCATGTCGCTCTTGGGAGCCACGGCACTCCTTGGGGGTGGGCTTTGTTTCCTGCTGCCAGAGACCCGGAACAAAGACCTCCAAGATGACACCACTGCCAAATCCACCTTTGACATGGGGTACGTTGGAGTCGTTCTGTCCTAAAAAAACCCAACGTTTAGCTGGTCTTCAAAGTTTCTTTCCCTTGTGGAAGACCAATGTGAAAATCAACTCCAGGGGAGTTTCTAGTTCTTTGGAGCAGGCTTTTTGGGGATGTTCAGATGAATGAAGTGAGGAAGGAGGAGTGTGTTGCTCCTAGTTGCATTGATGGAAGGAAATGTCTTTAGTAGAGTTGGGGTGTTGTGTGGTTTTCAGGCTGTATGGCTGTGTTCTAGCAGCATTTTCTCATGACATTTCATTTGCATCTGTGGCTGACATCTTCATTGGATCCTCTGAAGGTGAAACATCAGGAGAAAACGAGAACATGACGATACAACCCAGAAACCACACAACTCCCCAGTGATTCTGGCTGTGAAAGCCTTTGATAATACGTTTAGTAGAGTTGTTCCTATGATCCCGGTCTTTGAACAGTTCAGCACAAGAAGGAAAGATAGACCTTATTTTCAAATCCCATACTCTTCTAGCCTTTTCCCTCTATTTCCCAAACAACAACTGCTACATCTTATAACTCGGTCCAGGGAAAATGCTGCACTTATTATTTTGATTTTTGGGCAGAAGTAAGCCTGTTTACTACTGGGCTTTGCTTTAGAATAAGCAGACAAATGAGAGCCAGTGTCTTGTAATGGTTTGAGAGTTGGACTAGAATCCCAGAAGCTCAGGATTCAAATCCCTGCTCAGGGAAGGATGCCTACTGGATGGACTTGGACAAGTCACACTTTCTCAGCCTCAGAGGAAGGCATTGGCAAAGCTCCTCTGAACAAATCTTTCCAAAGAAGCCTTGTGAAAATGTTAACTTTAGGGTTGCATTAAGCTGAGAATAATACAAAGAATTGTCTACCATAAAACACGACATCCAGTCTGATCATGAAAGCTAAGCAGACTCAATCCTGGTTAGTAAAAGGATGGGGCAGTGGCTGCATCTGTATTAAAATGGGTGCTGAATCTAGTTTGGGTTTAAGGCCACTATTCTGGAACTATCCAAGGTGTTGAATGTATTTGGGGATACAGTTCAGCACCATGGATAGCTCATATTAAAGCTATCACTACCTTACTTATAAGGCACCAGCTATCAGTGGCTTGTATTTATTATACAAATATATAATATATTGATCTGGTCCACAATCACATTGTTACATTCTGAATAGATTACTGCAATGTGCTCTACGTGGGGCTGCCTTTGAAAACTGTTAGGAAACTTCAGTTAGTCCAACGGGCGGCAGCTAGATTAATTACCGGAGCGTCATACAGGGAACATGCCACCCCTCTGTTATGTCAGCTTTACTGGCTGCTGATCCAGTTCTGAGCACAATTCAAAGTGCTGGTTTTGACCTACAAAACCCTATACGGGTCAGGCCCAGCATACCTGTCCAAACATATCTCCTTCTATGTCCCACCTCAGAGCTTAAGATCTTCTAGGGAGGCTCTGCTCTCGGCCCCACCTCTATCACAAGTGAGGCTGGTAGGGACGAGGGACAGGGCCTTCTCAGTGGTGGCCCCTCGCCTGTGGAACTCACTCCCCGGGGAAATTAGGTCATCAACATCCCTCCTCTCCTTCAGAAGGAAGCTGAAAACATGGATATGGGACCAGGCCTTTGGGTAATCTGGCAGACTGACAAGGTAATGACGACCAGAATTTGGAAAGGACTATGGTAATGCTGAATGGACTTACGGATTTTAGAACTCGGTGAACGTTTGGCCACTAGATTGGCTTTTTAGTTGTTATTGTATTAATTGATTGTTTTTAACTATTGTGGCTATTGCTGTTATGTATTTTATCTGTTGAATTGTTGGCATTGAATTGTGCCGGTTGTAAGCCACCCTGAGTACCCTCCTGGGGGTTGAGAAGGGCGGGGTAGAAGTGCCCGAAATAAATAATATATTGATAGAGATGGAGAAAGGGAAAGGAAGAAAGAACTACCTGTCTTTCAGTTTGTAAACATGGCTCTTCCTAGTCACTCTGAAGTTGTTTCTGATCGCCAAAGGTCACCAGGCAAATGACAACTTGAAAACACATACTAAAGCTATGTTAATGCAAGAGATGTGGTATTGAGTGATGGAAGGAAGCTTTTAATCATGTTAAATATATTTCTTTCCTTAGGTCCGAGAAGGTCGCCAATGGTAGCTCTGAAAAAGGAAGGACAGAACAGAAGGAAGGTGGACAAAGCACAGAACCCACCAAGAGCACATACTTCTAGTGGCAAATAACAAATCCCTGTGTAATTCAAAAGAATGGGACATAGGGTTTTCTAGAGAGGAAAATGTCCTTGGTTTTTTAAACTCTAGACTTCCCAACCTCATGTTTTCTGGTTCTTCCAGAAAGTATGGAGTCCATCACATCTAAGTGATCCAAAAGGACTCTGCTTTTCCACTACAGTATTTTTTTAAAAGAAACACTCATTAGGAAATATTGCTGTTCCATTATACAGAATCCCTTGGAATAGAGTTAAAGAAACAGTCTTCTTTTTTGGAACAGTTGATGTACTTCAATGCAAATCAGTGTTGATCAATGAACTCTATGGCAGAGATGTGCTTCCACATGCTGCTGGACTTAATTTCTAATGTCCATTCTCCATTGGCTATGCTAGTAAGAACAGCATAATAGCTGCCATCTATTAATATCTGGAGGGCCACAAGTTGCTCAGATTTAAAGTATTATTTCTTGGCGATATGCCTACCCTTTCTACATATGTGTTTGTCTACCATTTATGGCAGATAATATTATTGGTACCAAAGAGTATCCAACTTATTCCTGGTCTCTGTCACTTTCTCCTATATCCAACAATAGATTCATTCTATTTTTTGCTCACAGCTATCATTCCATCTAAAACACACACACACACCACTTTTATAGTATATGCACTGTTCTATATTGCTATCCTTTCAATAATAATGTATTTTTGGACCTGAGAGCTGCATGACAAATTTTGGAGACACACTCCAAAGGAGTAGTACATGTATTAGACTTGGAAGTATGGATTAGTTTACTTAGGAAATAAAAACAATCGTCCTGTATCCCTACTGAAAGCAAAACTTTGTTTTCACTAGGATCTAAGTATTGCAAATGCTGATATCAGGAGGAAAAAAATGAATTTTTTTCTCACTAATGAGCACATGAAATTTTTTTGGACATTATTTTGTGCATATTTCATTTGCACAAAATAATAATACTATATTGCCTAAAACATGATTTTTTTTGCACAAAATACCATTGCTGCTGCTACCAAAGTATGTAAATAAACAAATTAAATTTCCAGAATTATTATCTTGGAGCATACATCTTTATAAAGGGATTTAAGTGTACTATAATTGCAATGGCAGAGTTGTGTAATTTATGTCTCCAGTAGAGAGCTGCACTTATGTTACTCCAAGGAAGCAATGAAGGATTTTGGGGATTTCCTTCCCATTGGGAAAGAGTATTTGGAAACGGATTCATTTTTTTTTGCAAACTACTCACATTCGGTGACATATTCTACACAAAATTGACATGCTATATTTTTGAGCAGAAATCAGTATGTTCAGCATGGTGTACAGTATATTCTGTCCAGAAATATTTTCTTCATGGAAAGCAGAGTTTTCTGCACAAAACAACCATGGCCAAATTTTGTAGAAAATAAGTGCAAAAATGTGAAGATTCCGATTCTTGTCAACATTTGAGAAACACATTTTCCAAACATTCCCTTAATGTGTTTGAATTTTCTTTCTATGACGAATATCCAATCCTTAGCCCCGCCCCCCCAGTTTATTTATATCACATATAGGTAAAGGTTTTCCCCTGACATTAAGTCTAGTCGTGTCCGACTCTGAGAGGTGCTCATCCCCATTTCTAAGCCAAAGAGCCGGCATTGTCCATAGGCACCTCCAAGGACACAATACACCTATCAGGCCAATGAGTGACCATCACTCATAAAAACATTGAAAAACATAGCAGAAGAGACTTAAAAAGGTCATGTGGCTGGCATGACTGCATGGAGTGCCATTACCTTTCTGCCGGTGCAGTACCTATTGATCTACCCACATTTGCATGTTTTTGAATGTCTAGGTTGGCAGATGCTGGGGCTAATAGCGGGAGCTCATGCTGCTCCCCAGATTCAAACCACCGACCTTCAGCAGCCACTACGCCACTGGTGGCTCAGGATATATATATGTGTGTGTGTGTGTGTGTGTGTGTATGTATATATGCCGTCCCCTGCTATGCATTGTTGTGGCCCAGTCTGTGTATATGTGTTTTGTGTGTGTATACGTTTGTGTATATATTTGTGTATATGTGTGTTTGCATACCTATAAGTGGTTTTGTGCATGTGCTGTTATGTAATTTTTGATTTTTGGCTTTTTAAGTCTCTTCTGCTATGTTTTTCAATGTTCTTATGAGTGATGGTCACTCATTAGCCTGATAGGTGTATTGTGTCCAAATTTGGTGTCAATTCGTCCAGTGGTTTTTGGGTTATATTAATCTCACAAACAAGCATTACACTTTTATTTATATTGATATATACACTTTGAATTGTAGAGATTAGAAATCTGCTGCTTGGAGCTCTGGAAATCTGTCATCATTGCCTCAACATGTATTTGTTGCATGAGTTCACAAAATATAGCACAATTTATTGTGTAGATTATCACGATGCCAATGTCGGTCAAAATGGGAGTGACCTTGTAACCTTATTTACACCTTGCAGTTTCAAAGTTAATCTGTAACATACTAATAGAGGAATAAGAAACCTCCGGAATCCAGGAAGGCAACCAAGGCTGGTGGGCTTTCTGCCAGGAGAGAAGACCAAGCAATCATTCAATGGTCATGTTTCCTAGAATGAGCTCCCATTGCAAAGGGAAGAACTTGGTGGCCGAAAGATCACATGTGGCTTTCAAGGCCACTTTTTGCACAATAGCCAACCTGCAAAAAATCTTATCAAATATGAGAATTGGAGCTCTCAAATGCCTCTGGTTTCAGTGGTTTTCCTACACAGCAATGTATTGTCTTCTCTTTCTCTGACATATCAGAAGAGAGTTTGGAGCGTTTTGAGCTTTGATATGAATACAGGAAATGACTTTCTGATTGCTTCTTGGTTGACATGGAGGGGCTGCAGTAGCCTTGGAATGAAAGTGGTCCTCAAACTCCTAGAGTTGACCTTCCTTGTTCTGTTTGAAGAGATGTTGTGTCCAAGCACAATCTCCAAAAGAATCTTAAAATGGGAGGTCAGTCTGAAGATGTTGATGTGGAACATCAACATATTGTGTCCAGTTCTGGGCACCACAATTCAAGAGAGGCATTGACAAGCTGGAATGTGTCCAGAGGAGGGCGTCTAAAATGATCAAGGGTCTGGAGAACAAGCCCTATGAGGAGCGGCTTAAGGAGCTGGGCATGTTTAGCCTGAAGAATAGAAGGCTGAGAGGAGATATGATAGCCATGTATAAATATGTGAGAGGAAGCCACAGGGAGGAGGGAGCAAGCTTGTTTTCTGCTTCCTTGGAGACTAGGATGCAATGGAACAATGGCTTCAAACTACAAGAGAGGAGATTCCATCTGAACATGAGGAAGAACTTCCTGACTGTGAGAGCCATTCAACAGTGGAACTCTTTGCCCCGGAGTGTGGTGGAGGCTCCTTCTTTGGAAGCTTTTAAACAGAGGCTGGATGGCCATCTGTCAGGGGTGATTTGAATGCAATATTCCTGCTTCTTGGCAGGGGGTTGGACTGGATGGCCCATGAGGTCTCTTCCAACTCTATTCTATGATTCTTTTGAGCCCTGTCTTATATCTGGGAAATTATTTCCCCTGCATCTGGTACCATTCTAGTATTTTAACCACTTTTATATCTGAATACCTGTTTGAGAGGGATTTGTTTTGTACTTCTCTTCTTTTAAGGTTCCAGTTCAAAATACCTGAGACAAGAAGCATTTGAGATTTTTAATCTTTTTTCCCCATATTTTGCAATATTCATATTTGCATAGATGTACATAATGAGATGTGTTGGAGATGGGATCCAAACCGAAACATGAAATTATGTATGTTTCATATGCACTTTATACACATACACTGAAAACTATTTTATACAACATTTTTAATTATTTGCTTAATGAAATACAATTTGTGTACATTAAACCATCAGAAAGCAAAGGAGTGTCTATATCAGCCATCCAAGTGGGTAATTTTGGATTTTGAAGGATTTAGGAATCTCAGTTAAGAGTTACTCAGCCTGTATTGATTATATAACTCTTTAGCTTCCTCACTTCTATCATTGCAGGGACCCTTTTTTTGGAAAGCATGCAAATCCCCTTTCTTCTTCTCTGCCTCTCCCATAAATGTTAGGATCCTGCATATACTACATATTTTCTCCAGAAGCAAATCAGGGACCCCAGTTCAATTTAAAGGGCTCGTTCCTTGTATCTCACATCTCTTGTTGGTTCATCTCTGCACATTAATTTATGTATTGACATAATATTTTGGCTTACTATACCCAGGAATGTTTGCTGCACACAGACTAATTGATTCCAGGCTACAAAACATACATTTATGTTATCTCATCTGCAAACTGATTTTGTGCTTCTTTTTCATTCCTCGGTTTCAACTTAAATTCTTTTCAGAAATACTCCTATGTGAGAATTAATTATTACCCTATTTTTTTTGAAGGCCCTCAGAACTGCCCCCCCCCCCCAATTTTAATATTTTAAGTTTAAAATGAACCTAAAATGCTCTCCAAATGCTACCAGGATGTGTACTTTGTCTTCCAACATGCTCCAGTTTCTTGCACTGCCTTACTTCCAATTTACTTTTGGCGGAAAGAAATAACTCATGTATCCAGAACTGCAAGTGACTCTGGTCACTTCCCAGTCATATTTTTTACTTTTCTGGGGAGCTGCAGTTGGGATGTGAAGGTCAAATTTTCTCTCTTCCCACCTTTGCAGATGCTGTACCAGATCCTTGATATCCTGTTATGAAGGACATACTGGTAATCAATTGCTTTCTTCCTCTGGTATGAGTTCTTGCAGACCAATTTCAGTTGTTTCTTCAACCTTTCCTTTGATAGTATCTCTAAGGAGTTCTGGGATGTGATGAAGGGCTGCAAATGGGGAAAACAGATCTTGTCCAGTGGGGGAACTACTCTCAGTGGCCTGTCCACCATGGAGGTCTACCTCCATGGTGGTATCTAAACTAAACTGTGGTTCATCATGCTGAAGCATCTCAGGATTTCCACTTTCCGGAGGGTCTTTGTCATTGAGCTGATCCTTTTCGACCAATGTAGGGGTTCCAGATTCTGGAAGTTGCCCTGAGATGTTTACTTGTGAGGGATTTTCTGAGAAGATCAAACAAGAAGATGTGTGTTCTATTGTGTCCAGATGAGGAGTGGATTGTGGATTTCTTCCTTCAACTCCCATAGAACATAAAAG